GAATTTGAAAAATGACAAATTAAAGTAGTGAATTTTAAGTAACAAAAATAATTAACAAAAAAAACGAAAACAAAATGGAACTAAATAATAATATAATTAAATTTTGAATTTGAAAAAGGAAAGAGAATTTTTTTTAAAAAATGACAAATTAAAGCAGTAAATTTTAAATATAAAAAAAAATTAATAAAAAACACTAAAACAAAATGGGACCAAATCACAATACAATTAAAGTTTGAAGTTGAAAAAAAAAGTATAAAAAATTAAGGACCAAAGTGTTACAAGAATACCATAAATAGTGAAAGGAATAGTGATTTTGTGAATGTGTGAATAGTGTTTCAAATAATGAATGAATAGTAAAACATAGTTTTACTTTAGTTTTATTAATAATATTAGAAGAAAACGAGAAAGTGCTATAGCCTTTTCATTGTTCATTCATTGTTCGTCCCTTTTTTTTTTGGTCGATTGCTGCTCAGTTTTGTTTTTTTTTTCCCTCTCTCTTGCTACGTTTTTTAAGCTCATCTTTTGGCTCTTATTTTTATTTTAGTCCTTCTTTTGTAATCTTTGTTTATTTTGGTTATTAACATTTTATTGTATTTGATTTTTGTTCCTATCATAAATATTTTTTTCTTGACTTTCAGTAAAAATTTATATTCTTTGTTTTGTTTTTATTTTAGTCATTAAAGTTTTATCATGTTTGATTTTTATCCTTACTATACTAAAACTAAATAAAGTTTCACTATCCCAAGCCTTTTTTTTTTTTTGCTTTTAATGAAACTTTTCTTTTTATTATAATTGCTATTTTTTGATTTTTTTCTTTGTTTTGGCTATTGAATTTAGTAGAATTTTATTTTTATTTTAGTCTTTGTTTTGTAATTATTTTTTATTTTGATCATTAAATTTTTATTATATTTAATTTTTTCTCTATGAGGAACTATTTTTTACTTTTAGTAAAACTTTTTGTTATGTTTTGATTTTTATTTTGATCATTAAATTTTTATTATATTTGATTATTATTCTTTCTACACTGAAATTAAATACAATTTCACTATTCTAAGTTTTTTTTTCTTTTAGGAAAAAAATATTTTCTGTTTTGGTTCTTATTTTGTGAATTTTTTTTTATTTTGGTCATTAAAATTCTATTATGTTTTAGTTTTGTTCTTACCTTATGTATAATGAATTTTTTTTAGTCTTATTGTTTACAAGTTTTTTTTTTTAGTGAAAGTTTTTTATTTATTTTGATCCTTCTTTTATGATCTTTACTTTATTTTGATCATTTAATTTTTAATGTGTGTAATTTTATCTCTATTTTTTTTTTTTTACCAAATTCTTGATTTGATAAAGCTTTTTTGTCTTTTTATTTTAGATGATCTCTCAATCTCATTAACAAATTAGAGATGAATAATATATGGTAAAAATTAATTATCTAGAATTCAAAAAACTACCATATTATTATTTTAATTGTCGGTTATTATTTATATTTTCAATGAATACATGTTTATATCAAACAATATATAATTAGCAACATTATATTACTCAACTCTGTAGACTTTCGTTTAACTAACCCAATAGCAAAATATGAGATATATGTTTGTTTTTTGTTTTAATTTTTTTACGTAATCCTTTTAAATAATTATTTTTAATTTTTTATATGAATGAACACATAAGAATATTGTATAGCTCACCTTGTGACAATGCGCGAAATATATGCTAATCTCTCTCTAAAAAAGAATTGGCGATACAAAAAATCAGCATTTCGTTTGATAGATAAAATTTATAAATTAACATGCTGGCGTCGTCTATTTTTAATTAGTTTGGTTTTTTTTTTCAAGTAGTATGTGATTATGCTAAAAAAAATGTTAAAGTAAAGAGCGGTTAGTTTAATGTTTAAGGAGTAGCATAATTTGTTTTATTTTTTATTTTTTTTAAAGAAAACAGCTTAAACAAGGTTATGTTTGCCATTTTAACATAACATGGAGACGTAACAAATTGTGGCCTGGGAAATGACAGTCTAAATTGGAAGCGACGTATAATGATGAAAAATCCCTAACATGATGATAATCTATTTCATTCCCAATCTATTTAATTTTTCAATTGCATCCTAATTCTTCTGCTAATTTCTCAATGTTATCATGCGTCCACTATTTGCTTAGTAAACTGTTACACTGCTTGCACTTCTTTATTCATCCTAATATATTATTTATCCTCGTGTCTTATTTTAATATACTAACAATTATAATCTTTAAAAAAATCACATGTTTGAACTAAGTAATAATATATTAAAGATTTTGTAGTCTAATGATAGTAGTTTCTTATAACAAAATATCACAGATTCATATCCTAATAAATTAATTCTGTTAAGAATTTTGGTTATGTGAATTAAAAAAAAAAACTAACTAACAACACTTTACGAACAATATTTTTCAAAATTTTATGAATATTTGCGTACAAAATAAAAAATAGAAAGCAATTAAGAAAAGGATAAGGATCAGGATAGGATAAAAAAATGGTCAAAAAAATTTTAACTTATGGAAAGTTCACCCTGCCAATGATTATCTAAGAATATCTACAAACATGAATGAAATTGAAAAGTTAGCTTTAAAAATAATAAAAAATTATGTTCCCAAACAGCATGCTGATAGTGATGCAGAATAACATTAAGGTGTTGTTTAATTACTATGAAAACGAAAGTTTTATTTTTTTCTTATAATTTTTTGATAAAAATAAAATGAGAATAAGAATGAAAACTAATAATAGAAATAAAAATTAAATATAGTTTCATTCCTATGTGAAAGGTAAAAATAAAAATAAAGAATGAGAATGATTTTTTTTCAAAATAATAAATATTATTTTTATTTATTATTTATCAATTGCTTTTACCACTATTATCACTATAATCACCTCTGTCATTTTTTCTATTGCCATACTTGAAGAAATTATTTTTTAATTATTATTTTTATTTGTATTAAAAATTAGATATTAAAAAATTTCAATTTCATTTCAATTTTTTACTATTGTTCAAACATAATATGAAAATACAAATATTATTTTAATTTTTTATTTTTTTCGATTCTTACGTTTCAATTTTAGATATTTTATTTCTATTAACCCAACTACATCTTAAAAAATTTATATAATATTCAGGATAAAATTGAGAAATTAAATAGTTTTCAAACGAAATTGATGATAAATAGGAGTATAGGGTAGGAGCCTTTTTATCATTTGTAAATAAATTCGAAATGCTCTATTGCATGGGGGGAAAAAAATCCCGATTAGCATGGCATTTAAACTGACCACCTTCAGGGCCTCAAGTCTAAGCACTCCAATCATCACCCAGATCCAAAACGGGGAGTTATCTCCTATATGACACAAATAGTCGATATGACCTTACTATCCTACACACGAAGTGCACCCAATGCTTTCTCATTTAAAGACAATGACACTGTCCTAAGCTGAAGATTACCTCACCACAATGCATTGCCACTTCGCAAGAACATTTAATGCGTCCACTCACTGACTCGGATAAATTTTATAATACACCGAAAGTAATTATTGACATATACAATAATTATTTTATAAATTGATTTTAAAAAAGAGATAGATATATAAAAAATTATCAAAATTATATCTATATTTATCAAAAGTCTTAAGAAAATTTTTACGTCCGCTCAAATTTTTTTATTTTCTCTATTTTTTATATGTTTATCTCTCTTCTCAAAATAAATTTATAAAATAATTACCGTATACGTCACTAATTATTACTAATGTATTATAAAATTTCTCTACTGACTCGTCCAATAAATAACCCTAAGTGTCAATTCAACAGGATGAGTTAAAAAACCCAATAATCAAGCAGTAAAATTTAGAAAAAAGGAAGATTTTATCCGTTAAAAAAAAAAAAAGAAAAGAAAAGAAAAGGGGACAATTAGATTTAATTTTTCTTAACCATTTTACTGATGTAAAATTTTTTGCTCAACGTTACTGAATCTTAAAACCAGGACAGGGTAAAATCTTTCTGTATAGCTTGAAATAGCTCTGTCTTTTGAGATGATTGAAACTGTTACTTAAAGACTGTTACGAACAAGACTCAAAAACATTTTTGGAAAACTTCATTTCATTGATGTTAAAAAAAAAAACTTTCAAAACAAGGTTTTAGAATTTTACGAAATATAGGGTGTTATCCAAACGGGGTGTTAGTAACAGTGCACACAACAACGACGAAGACGACGACGACATGAAGTGAGAAGAGAGAAAAAATAACAGAAAAATAAAAAAGGAAGAAGAGGGGGAGGAAGAAGGCATCTTTTTCTTTTTGTGAATTTTGGTTATGGTTAGTGCGAGATAGACACGCGGTGTGAGAAGGGACCCACCATTTTGGTGTTGTTGGGTGGTACTGTTGTTGTTGTCTCTCTCTCTTTCACTCTATATAGTTTTTTTTTTCTTCTTTCATGGATAGGTAAGTAAAGGTACCAAAGATTGTTGATTACTTTTATCTTTCTATGTATCATACCACACCTTACCATTTCTGCATCTCTTCTGTATCACCACCAGCATCATCACTACCCCAACTTTTCGGTCACTTGTCTTCACTCTCCGGCAACAAGTCCGATCTGTTTTCTTTCTCTTCAGACAGGATTATTAAATTACTGCCGGGAAAGTAAATTTTTTCTTTTCCTGTTTGCTTACTTCCTATCTATGATTGCTTCAATTGAGGAAATTTTAGAGCTTGAAGTGGGGTTCATGGTTTTTCCTTGAGTGGATTTTTGGAGGGATAGGTAGTTGATTGAAGGGTAATCTGGTATGTGGGTTGCGGTTAATTGGAATCATGGGTGTGTCTGTGTGGTTTTTTTGTGCTTTTGGGGAAGAAGTGAAGCTGATTAGGTGTAATTTTCGTTTAAAGCTTTCATCTTTTTTGGGTTAGTTTATCTGTGGTTTTTTTTTTTTTTTTTTGATTATCAGTGTTGGTTCAATTAGTGAAATTTTGGGTCTTTTGGGTATTTGATATGGAGGCTAGATTTGGAAGCGAAGCTCATCGTTTCTATGCTATGAACCCCGCAGATATGCGGGCAGTTGGGAAGAGAGCTTTAGAATGGGATTTGAATGATTGGAAATGGGATGGTGATCTTTTCATTGCTAGCCCTTTGAATCCGGTGCCATCAACCAGTATGAGTAGGCAATTTTTCCCTCTTGGGGTTGGGACAGGAATTCCGGCCACTGGGAATTCGTCCAACAGTTCATCCTCATGCTCCGATGAAGTGAATCTGGGAGCTGAGAAAGGAAAGAGGGAATTGGAGAAAAGGAGAAGGGTTGTTGTCATTGATGATGACAATTTGAATGATCAAGAAACTGGTGGCCTTAGTTTAAAGCTTGGTGGTGAAAGGGTTACCGGAAATTGGGACGGAAGCAGTGGAAAGAAGACTAAATTAGTTGGGGGTGGCTTGAGCCGTGCTGTTTGTCAGGTGGAGGATTGTGGGGTTGATCTGAGCAATGCCAAGGACTATCACAGGCGGCATAAGGTTTGCGAGATGCATTCCAAGGCTAGCAAAGCTCTCGTGGGAAATGTTATGCAGCGTTTCTGTCAGCAGTGCAGTAGGTATGTGTTTATGTGTTCGTTGCTTTGATCTTTATTGGATATTTACTGCCTTAGTAGAACATGTACATATTATGAAAATAAATAGTAACATCATATACATAATTTGGATGCCCAATGGTGGTGTGAAAAATATTAAATAAATTATAGAAATTTTATATTTCAGGAAACTTTTCATGGTATGCAGTTCTTATATCCTGCCAAAAATACTCTCTTAACTGATGCCTGGTGAACTTTTTTGCAGGTTTCATGTCCTTCAAGAGTTCGATGAAGGGAAGAGAAGTTGTCGTAGACGCCTGGCTGGCCACAATAAAAGGAGGAGGAAGACAAATCCCGATGCTGTTGGCAATGGAAGTTCGATGAGTGATGATCAGACCAGTGGCTATCTGTTAATAAGTCTCTTGAGGATACTCTCAAACATGCATTGTAAGGAACTCCATGCTCATACTATTTGAGCTTATCACAATTAATTCTTTGAGGATTTCTAGTTTGTCCATTGATATTACCTTGATTTGCTGATTCGCTTTGTGGGCTTCATTTGCTACCTGGAAACCGTGGGCACCTATATCTCGTTGTATGAGTGGCTTATATTTGGTATATAATAATTCTGTCTTTTTTGCATTGCAGCCAATAGATCGGACCAGACAACTGATCAGGATCTGTTATCTCATCTTTTAAGGAGCCTTGCAAGCCATGGTGTTGAACATGGAGGAAGAAACATATTTGGACTATTGCAGGAACCTCGAGATTTGAGCACATCATTTGGAAATTCTGAGGTAGTCTCAACTTTACTCTCAAATGGTGAAGTCCCCTCAAAGCCTTTAAAACATCATCTGACAGTATCTGTGTCTGGTATGCTGCAGCAAGTTATGCGTGTGCATGATGCTAATGGTGCAAACATACAGACTGCTTCTTCTTTGAAACCTAGCATTCCAAACAACTGTGCAACATATTCAGAAGTTCGAGAGAGTACAGCAGGGCAGGTCAAGATGAACAATTTTGATTTGAATGACATTTATATTGACTCAGATGATGGCACTGAAGATATAGAGAGATCGCCTGCTCCTGTGAATGCAAGGACTAGCTCCCTCGATTGCCCTTCATGGGTACAACAAGACTCCCATCAGTCAAGTCCACCTCAGACAAGTGGAAATTCAGATTCAGCTTCCGCGCAGTCACCTTCTAGTTCCAGTGGAGAAGCTCAGGTATACTTTGCGTGCATCTTGTTTATCATTTTCCAAGAAGAATTTCTTGGTAGTTTCCTAAAGTCCCTTTGAACGGAAATATTTTATCACTATGATTTTCATATTATTCTCGAGTCCCCCAAAATTATCCATTTTAAGTAACAAGGCACTTCTTCTTCGAGGAAAATCTCATCTTTCATTCGAGACTATGCGAAATGTTGATTTCTTGTATTTTTCGTAGATTTATATTTCAATCTGCAGATGAAGCATCTGTTCTGTCTTTTGACTTCTGAGTTATATCTGTATAATTTTCATCAGTAAACTTTTTCATTTTCTACCATTTCAGAGCCGCACAGATCGAATTGTTTTGAAATTATTTGGGAAAGAACCAAATGCTTTTCCCCTTGTCCTTCGAGCCCAGGTACTCACAATTTAATTTTAGTTTAGTGCTGCTGTTTGATGTTTCTTTCCTTTCAAAATATAATTATGTGAAGTTTTTGGTTTTCAGATTCTGGACTGGCTATCTCATAGTCCCACTGACATTGAAAGCTACATTAGGCCTGGTTGTATCATTCTGACCATTTATCTTCGTCAATCTGAGGCTGCATGGGAGGAAGTAAGCTTCATACACCCTGACCATTGTTATTAATCTAAACTTCTCCAGACAACATTGGTGACCTTACAGTTTATTTTTCCTTTGAATAGCTTTGCTGTGACCTTCGCTCCAGTTTGAGCAGACTTCTGGATGTATCGGACGACGCTTTCTGGAGAACTGGATGGGTCTATATTAGGGTGCAACATCAAATAGCATTTGTTCATAATGGTCTGTTGCCTTTGATTGCCTAAATAATTTAGAAATTTAGAAGAATAGTTTAGTGGTAACAAGACTTATGAATGAATATTGCGAATTCTATGTTGCAGGTCAGGTCATTGTTGATACATCCTTGCCTTTCAGAAGCAACAGCTATAGCAAAATTTTAAGTGTCAAGCCAATTGCTATATCTGCATCCGAGAAAGCTGAATTTTTAATTAAGGGCATCAACTTGTCTCGGCCTGCCACAAGGTGATGACTGCTGGTTTTCATATGATATTGAATTGTTTAAGAATTTTTAGTTTCCAGTATTTTGTGTACTCTCTCTTTTGTTGCATGGTTTAATGTGCTGCTAAGCTACCCATTGCTCTGTCCACCTCTGTTTTTCAGATTACTCTGTGCTGTAGAAGGGAATTATATGGTTCAAGAAAATACTCAGGAGTTGATTGATGGTGTTGATAACTTCAAAGGTCATGATGAGGTCCAATGCGTAAACTTTTCTTGCTCTCTAACTGCAGTGACTGGAAGAGGATTCATTGAGGTGGTGTTGGCTTCTACTTCTCATCTCAATCCTGTTCATTTCTTTTCCTTGTTTATTCAGCATTGGATGTATGCTAGTTGTGAATCTATGATCTTTTTTCGAACAGATTGACTGTTGAAGTACTTTGAATTTGGCTTTGTGAATTAGACATATCTGGGTTGATTTGGGGCTAACTTCATTACTATCTCAAGGAGATTGTGAACCTGGGCTTGTTTGGAGCGAACTTCATTACTATCTTAAATTAACCCCTATGTTGAGTCATCTCAATTCTTTAGTATTTTCACGCCTTTGTATGCAGTTGCAAATGTGCTTTCATAGAATGCTGATACTTTTTTGAAGATGCCTTCCTCTGAGCTAAATTTCATATCTTGTCCATCCAGATTGAAGATCATGGTTTTAGCAGCAGCTTCTTTCCTTTCTTAGTTGCAGAGGAAGATGTATGCTCAGAGATCCGCATGCTTGAGGGTGCATTGGAGTTTACTGAAACAGATGCAGATTTTGGGGAAACTGAAAAAATGGAAGCCAAAAATCAAGCGATGGACTTCGTTCACGAAATGGGTTGGCTTCTTCACAGAAGCCAGTTAAAGTCTAGATTGTGCCACTCGGATCCTAATACGGATCTCTTCCCTTTAAGAAGATTCAACTGGCTAATGGAGTTCTCCATGGACCATGAATGGTGTGCTGTTGTGAGAAAACTCTTGAACATATTGCACAACAGAATTGTTGGTACTGGAGAGAACTCATCTCCGAATGAAGCATTATCAGAAATGGGCCTTCTTCACAGAGCTGTTAGAAGGAATTCTAGGTCTCTTGTGGAGCTCCTATTAAGATATGTTCCTGAGAAATTTGGATCCAAAGAAAAGGCATTGGGTGATGGAAGCCATGAAAACATTTTGTTTAGGCCAGATGTCACAGGCCCTGCCGGTTTAACACCTCTTCACATTGCAGCTGGTAAAGATGGTTCTGAAGATGTACTGGATGCTTTAACTGAAGATCCCGGAATGGTAATTCTTTTTTCTAATTAAATTAATTTCTGGACATTCTGAGGAGAGTTCTCTTAACTCTGCATTTTCTATGGCATGATTATTTACCACCACCAGTTTTACTCACTGCATGTCTTCAATGTGGATCACTGTGTTCGTACTTATGTTGTGACAACAATAATCAGTTTTAGGAATAGGAATATAATCGAATCTTTTTTGATTGCTTGATTTGCAAACCTAACGTGATGTGTAGGATTCTTTTAGACGGAGAAGTTAAGCAGGAGCTGTTGATTTAGTTATATGTTCCCCACATTGTTTTTTTGTTCACAGAGTTCTTTTTATTCAATTTAGTGATGATGTATTGTAGAGTGATAATAGCCCGCTGTCTTGAAGTGAAATCTGCTTCATTTGATTGTTTTACACTCTGGCCTTGCTGTGTAAATGAGCGTGGTAAATTTCCTGCTGTTAATCACAACTATGTTTTCTCTCACAAAAGTAGATGAAAAATTGGTATTTAAAAGAGGAAAATTAATGGAGGGTGGTTGCTTTTGTCACGCTGCAGCTCATCTCACAGCTGTTAATTGCAGTGTAATGTAGGCCTTCAATTTAGCGGCCTTGTTTTGTTATCATTCATTCATTCCACTTCTCAACGTTTATATTACTTGTCTTCTTTTTCATAGCCAGTGAATGGTTTTTCATTCTTCATAGTGCCTTCATTTGTTGTTTCTGTTTTGTTATTTAAATATCTGGACAAGAAGCTGCTTATTTATTTATTTTTTTAATCAGCAGTCAATAATTAACATCTCGGAAATTGAACCCAAGACTGCTTTCGATCATTGTTACATTTCTGGCAGGGATTTATTATTTGTCTTCATTTTATGTAAGACTTAACTTGCGTGATGCATTTTAGGTGGGTATTGGAGCATGGAAGAATGCCCGTGACAGCACAGGCTTCTCGCCTGAAGATTATGCTCGCTTGCGTGGCCACTACTCGTACATCCATCTGGTGCAAAAGAAAATTCACAGGAGACAAGCTGTTGGGCATGTGGTGCTTGACATCCCTGACGATCTCTCAAACAGTAACAACATCAATGAGAAGCAAAATGAAGGATTGGCCAGTGGCTTTGAGATTGGACATCCAGCATTGAGACCCATTCAGCGCAACTGCAAGTTTTGCAGTCAGAAGGTGGTTTATGGAACAGCCAGCAGGTCTCATTTGTACAGGCCCGCAATGCTCTCAATGGTGGCAATTGCTGCAGTTTGTGTGTGCGTGGCTCTTTTATTCAAGAGTTGTCCTGAGGTTCTGTATGTGTTCCGTCCCTTCAGGTGGGAGTTGTTGGACTACGGAACAAGCTGAGGTCCATCAATGCCCATTGTAATGACATATGATAGGAGGTGTTTGTATTATTTTGTATGCATTTATAGACTGTAAAGAGATTTTCCTGTATAACCATCGACCTGGACACGGCTAAACATTCAGTAATGTTAGACATATTTATTCAAAATCCACTGAATCTTTCAGCATAATTATAACCTGTGCAAGTGTGATAGGGCATTATATGATATATCCAATTTCTGTGTTCCAAAATATAATCTGAAGTGATTCTGAACCCCCAAATTTTGAAAACCTCTTTGTTACTACAATGTTCCCAGTAAACACAAAAACTAATTAGGATGCCGTCAGAGATAATGATGTCGGATGAACGTACGGAAAATTGACCAAGCTCTGGAAATTTTAAACTTACATTATGTGAATGGCGGTAGGTCAGGGGAAACGATACAAGCTGCATGTATGTTACAAATTGAAAGGGAAAAGAAAGGAAATTATGTGAAGGAAACTGAACTTGCCACTGATGTACTTCTATCGTTTGGTAATAGGTGGGCAAGGAAAAATGTTTTTTATATGGATCCAGGCAATTTGCAATTTTAAGTTTCTTCTCTCTTCATTTCCCTCCTTTTCGTTTCCGCAAGTGGAATCGATTCTGGAAGGCTCTAAAATTTGGATATATCATATAATGCTACCTCTAATTTCCTCCCTGCATGTAGATTCCTTTGTTTTCCCTTTATTTTCATTTTCATCAATCCATAGGGACCTAAAATTATGTAAATAAAAGGCTAAATATTACAGCGATAGATAAAAGAGAAGAAAAACCAAGGATTTTGATATTGACCACAGAACAAGACCAACAATACAAAAGGATATTTAGGTCGAGCGGTAAGGATTTGTCCGGACGTTAAAGTAGATATATTTTTAACACAAGCGCAAAGCAATAAAATTCAAATTCATTATGTAGCTACCAATTTACATTTTGGTGCAATCGGTTGGCTTAAAAGACAAGGACTTCCCTTGAATGTTATATCCTACCAAGAAGTTCATTTGTGCAACGTTTCCGTAGATTGAAATACCGGATTGAGTAGAGGCGAAGGCCAAGCACACAACATCGTCTGAAATTTGAACGAAGGTGTTCCTGGGTTCGAGTTTCACATCTGCACCAGTGAAATGTGCAGTGATTGAAGGAACCTTGAGATCAGAAGTAGCACCGTAACAAATACTCAGTAGTCCACTTGGGTCCTCAGCACGCTGTCCCTTAACTTGATCTTGTACTGCTGTAGAAAACTCGGAGAAGAAATCATCTGGAACTATTGTCAAAGTTGTACCTGAATCAATGATGATGTTTCCCTCACTGGTTTCGGAAGAAGAACCACCGAATTTTATCCTTTTATTTCCAACGCTCATGGCTTCTAGAGATAAATAGTAGAAGGTATCCATGGTGTCTGACGATAATAATGGGGTAGACTGAACTCCCGGACCTGAAACAGCAGCATTGCTGCCAAAATTTAGTTTGCTCGAGTTTCCAGCTTGGGAGGAAAGATCCACCAGACAGTAAGAGAATTTGCCACCAACCGAAGAACCCATTTGAGAAATGAGAGACAGTGGACCGCCTCCAAGGCCAAAGATTCCTGAACCTTGGTCACTGAATGTCCCATCATTTCGGTGTCCACAGCCAATGACAGTTTTAGGAAATTGCACTGGACGGCCTGCTGTGGAATCCAAAGTGATGGTATCGGCAGCAAGATTTCCATTGGTGTACGATTGATCACCATAAGAATATTGGTATTGGCAAATTTGATCAGAGCAGGAAGTTTGCTGCAGCGAGCTGCATTGCCTTGCGTCACAAGAAAAGTCTCTGTATGTTTTGGAAGACTTCGGATCAAAAAGAGGATCCACTTGCTTGTAGCAACCCTCGCACGGCTTGCACTGTGTCCATATCAGATCACTACCTGTATCTGCTATACCCAGAATCTTAAAAGGTGGTGTTCCTAAGGATAAACTCATGAGGTATTCACCTCTGTTCGATGTAACCTCAGATTCAGCCGCGTTAGGAGAGACTGAAGCAGCAACAGTTGGGTCAAAGTGGTGGACACGACTAATGGATCGACGGAAAGCATTGTTGATACGCTGGAGGTCAGTCTCTTGAGAGTTATAAAAGGGGGACAGTGGTGAATCACGGTGGATTAGTTCCACAGTGAAGCCAGCGTTGTGGGCATGGATGCAGCCACACAGGAGTGCAATTGCTAGAGCAAAAGAGAGAGGAGATTGAAAAGCTGCCATGAGGAACAAGCAGCCTAGATATAGCGATGAAGATGATATTTGTTAGATGGATTCAAGGTGGGTTTGGGCTGTATAAATAGATAGTGTTAGCTTAGGAAGAAATCATGGAGATATCACAAATTAATGAAAGAATGAAGGTAGAATCATGTAGAATCAACGGATTTTGAGGGTAATTAGTGTTATTGCCTTTCTATTAATTTTTATTCGGATGCTGCAATGCAAATTAAGGAAAATGTTTTTGAGTCGTTTATTGAATGATTTGATGCATATTCGTGTTTCCATTCAATGTACTCCTACGTACATGGATTCTCATTAATTTACTCTCCGGCTTCCATGGATTTCCCATTAACTCCTTAGATAATCAAATCTTCAGGTGAATCGTATTTCAGTATAGTACTAGCAATTAACATTTCTCTACATGGCAAAGACTGCTTTTTGCTTGAATTTGGACTTCTTCTTTTGGAGGACTAATTAATTTGGTCAAATTCATGTGTAAGAATCTATTCACCATTTACTCTCCTTGATTTATTTTTGAACTTAGCCTTCTCGATCTCTTTTCGACAGGAGGAACCATTGCCAAAAACTAATTTAATTCATTAGAATATTGCTGATTTAATTAGCCAAATCCATGCTCAATAAGTGCATATTTTGTCTAAGTTCAAAGAAAAGAAAAATTTGCAATTTTGTTTCCATAATTAAAGGCTGTTTCTTAATTTGATGAGTGCATTTTTCGGTGTGCTGAATTGTATTAAAACTAAAAAGGAGAATTAACCTCAATACCTCATCACATTAATTAATTTTATCAATATTCGTTATAGAAACTAGCTAGCCCACGATTTTGCACAATCTTTCTGAGACTTTTACGCAAGAACTTATGTCATTAACAATTTACTCTACGGTTAATATAGTAAAATTTATGATTTTTTTTTCCCGAGAATATATTTTTCTAATTACATTTATTTTTCTAAATTAAATCACCTTTTTTTTCCTCTCAATGCATTACCTTATTTATTACCTTTTAGCCTGGTACACCACCCTTTGTCTCCCGGTCTCTCCTATCTCCATATTTTATTTTTGTTATGAAATAATAAATATCCATTTCATATTTTTACTACTCATTATTTTTAATATGATTCAAGTCACAATTCAATATGAGAAATTAAAAAAGTGATGCAATTGATTTAATTATTTATACACCTTTAATGGTTTCTAATCTCTTCTAATTCTCTTTCTAATCTTAATGCCTATAAATAAGCTTAATTGTTCATTATTTTATGTATAAGTATTTTATAGAAGTTAAGAGAATTATTTGGAGTTGTTATCTCTTGTATTTACTTTATTTTATAGTTAATTCGTTTTCCTATCATCTTTCTCTTCAACTCTACTATTATTATCATTTCTTTTATAATACGTTATCGGCATGAAGCACTAACCAATCGAGATAATAGACCATGAGGTATGTATCTAACAAAAGACTCAATGTTTCGATCATTGGATTTTTTCTACTCAAGTTCTCTACCAAAAGTTCTAAATTATCTAGATCATCGGGAGACATGTAGCTAATTTATCCATTACTTTAAATCTAATAATACATAGAGTATAAATTTAAAAATTTTGAATGATTTAATATATAGAATCTAATGATCTAATATATGTTGTTTGAAAAGTTTAAATTTTATTATTATGTTTATTCTTATTTCTTAACATTAATTATTATATCTTACATTATAGAATTTTGATCATATCGGATTTCACAAATCTTGATTTTGCGACCTTCGATATTATGGGTAAGAATTATTGATCATTGGTGCTTGATACTAAAAACACATTTTCTACTTTTCATGCCTCGAACATGCTTCGCAGACAACAATATAAAAAAAAACTATAAAATATTCTAAACTAATTTCATATTTTTGAACAAATAAAAAGCTATTGATGAAAAATCATAAATTTTATACAACTCGGTTTTATTCTATTGCCGAAGTGAATATGACAACTTATGATAATTCTGAACATAGATATAATTATTTCCATAACCATTATCATGATTGGAATAATTATTGTATAATTATGGTGTTCATAATAATACACTTTACTACCAAATGTGGACAAACTATAGTGATCACAATAATACATCTTACTATCGAAGTGAACAAACTATGAAAAAATAAAAATAAAAATAAAAATTGATTAAACCATCATTCTGAAAATTAATGTTATTGGTATTGCAAAAGCGACATTGATCGCGTAAGCTGCAGTATGCTAAAACACCTCTTTGAGCTTTATCAAGCAACATTTTAAAAAAAGAGAAAAATATAAAGATCAATTTTATATATCAAAATGATGATAATTTAAATTAATAACTTGTTAGTATTTTTATATATAAATAAGATATTTTATATTTTCTTATAATTTCTATTGTATGGAGATAGATATAAATTTATTTTGCTATATATATATTTATTCATTTTGTTACACCTAATTTTTTCTCCTAAAAAAGTCAAAAATACAAAAATGAAAAAAAAAAAAAGAGAGAGAAAAGGGATCAACTAAATTCAATTGGATGAGTAATTTTTTTTTTTTTTATAAAAAAGGAGTTGAAAGGGTAAAATAAAATGAGCCTACAAGATAAGGGATCAAATCAAATTCGGCCATCAAACCCTAAAAACTCACTATAAAAAAAACTTTGAATAGGATCATTTTTGTAGTTTTTACCTATTTTATCTAATTTGCATTTTTTCCTTTTTATCTCTTTTGTCTAATTTGCCATTTTTGTTGTTTTGCCTATTTTGTCTAAATTTTCATTTTTATCGTTTTGTCTGTTTTGTCTAACTTGCCATTTTTTTTTTCGTTTTTTCCTATTTAGTCTAACTTGTCATTTTTGTTGTTTTGCCTATTTAGTCTAATTTTTCATTTTTTTCATTTTTGCCTATTTTGTCTAATTTTCCATTTTTTATTTTTTAATCTATTTTGTCTAATTTTTTTTCGCTTTTATCTCTTTTGTCTAACTTGCCATTTTTGTCGTTTTTGCCTATTTAGTCTAACTTGTCATTTTTGTTGTTTTGCCTATTTTGTCTAATTTGCCATTTTGTATTTTTTTACCTATTTTATCTTTTTTTTTGCTTTTATCTCTTTTGTCATTTTTACTATTTTTTCCGTTTTTATCTTTTCTATCATTTTTTCCATTTTTACTATTGTTACCTATTTTGTTTATTTACCTATTTTTAAGTCATGTTTCAACGCATGTCATTTAGGTTACACTAGCCATATATTCTTGTGCACTCATCATATTCTTTTCATTTTATTTTCTTACTTATTCATTTCAAAGTGATAATGATGTCCCCGACCGACTAAGTCCCAAATCACTTGTCCGGTTGGAAAAAAATTTAGGAATAGGCATAGGTTTTTCATCACGAAAAATAAAAAATCAAGTCAAATTTATATGCAATGCAACTTGTCTTAGGTAGAATGGGATATGATGATTTTTAATCTTTCCTATATGTAATAAACCATTTACATGGAACTTTGAACAGTACTCGCCATATTGTTTCCTAGTAACCATGATAGTAGGTGATGACTCCATCTTTTTTGCCCATTTTCCTATTTCGCAAAACCATCGCCTTTGCCCCGATATCGCCCCGTGACACATTTGTTTATTTGTATTTATGAAGAATATATTTATTTATTTTGTGTTTATTGAATTATTTATTTATTTTTAATATTATATTTGATATTATCAATCCGATAGAAAGCTCCAAAAGAGCAAATATATTATTACTTGAATAGATAAATTTTAAAAGCTTTAGAAGAGTGGATATATTATCACTTGAAGAGAAAAATTTTGAAGGCTCTAGAAAAGAGAATATAAGAGATAAATTTTGAAAGCTCCAAAAGGGCAAATATATTATTACCTAAAGAGAAATTTTTTTATTATAGATAATGTATTATTCTCTCTAAAATTCTCTAAACATTTATTGAGTTTCAAAAATATTTGTCGAATGGATATCATATCGAGATAACAAATGTTAAGAATATTGAATACTTATATATTACAATAATTATACCGGTTAGAAAATATATATTTGAGTAATTGTCTACTTTCTCTTCGATCTTTATTATGAACACTCGAATAGTTGAAACAAATACTATAGTAAACTAGAAGTTTACTAATACAAATACTTTTATTATGTGGCATGACTGTTTGGGCTATCATAGGTCTTTCATGATGTAAAAAATTATTAAAAATTTATATAGACATCTATTAAAGAGCTAGAAGATTCTTTAATTTAATGAATTTTTATATCATACATGTTGATTATTAAGCCATCATCAAGTAAAATTGAGATTGAATCTCTAGTATTTTTAGAATGTATTCAAGGTGATATATGTAAATCAATTCATTCACATGTGGATCATTTAGATATTTTATGATTTTAATAAAAACATCCATAAGATGGTCACATGTATACTTATTATCTACTCGAAACCCGATATTTTTTAGGTTGGCAGCTCAAATAATTAGATTACAAGCACAATTTCTAGATTATGCCATTAAAATAATTTACCTTGATAATGTTGGTGAATTTATCTTCCGAGCATTAAATGATTGTTGATTGGTTGTTAAATTTACTCATGTTTATAATCAGAAAAATTTAGCAAAATCATTTATCAAAAGACTCCAATTGATAGCTAAACCATTACTTATGAAAACAAAACTCCATGTTTATATTTAGGGACATGTTATCTTACATGTAACAATACTTATTCGCATCGGACCCATAAGTTATAAAAAATTCTCCCCTTTCAATTGGTTTTTGATCATGATCCAAATATTTCTTATCTAAGAATTTTTAGATGTGCAGTATATATCCATAGTGCACCGCCATAATGACATAAAATAAGCACCTAAAGGAGATTAAAAATATATATTAGATTTGAATTTTTTTTGATAATTAAATATCTTGACCCATGAATATGAGGTATTTTTAAAGCTCGATTTA